AAGGGGAGCCCCATGTTTTGGAAGACAAGCTCTGATCTAGAACTTCACTATTTGTGGTTTTGCATCAACTCTGGTGAGGAAACTGAAGTAAAATGGCATGTAGGCGTTCTGGGTTTTGTTGATATCTTTATAGTTCTTGTGCTATCCAAAATGAAGTATAATTGCTGTCAGAAAATGTCTGTAATGTCTGTCTTGTTTATCTTTCATAACATGGGAGTTGAGGAGGATTACAAAGGAGAGTCGGGGGGTTGGGGAAACCTTGCTTTGGGAAGAGAAGCACTGAATTTACTGCTGTGTTTCAGGAAATCAGTGTCCAGCATAGGTGGTTGGGGGATGGAATTGGCTTGGGAGTCCCAGCCAAGCCCTTACTGGAGTAACATTCTAGACAACCATGAAAAAGATGGTGACTAAAGCTTGGCTGGCCAAAGGAAATCTTAAATTTGCACGTGTCCAAGCATAACAGCGATTTGTGTCCCCTGGGGAGTGTTACCAGGTAAATACATCATTAGGTTGGCCTCTGCCTCTTTGTGGAGGTAGAGAGTTTGGAGCTGGTTGCAGATTCATGTACCTCATCCAGCTCTTTCAGGACTTGGGGAAGGAGGATGTGCTTGAAGAGTTCTGCTTGTCAAGCAGAGCTTAATGACTTTAGGTAAAGAAGGATGACTAGCAAGGTTCTTGAAGCTAGTTAAGATCTTCCTAGCCACGCTGCGCTGGGCTCCTCCTGTGTGTACTGAGGGATGGAGGAGTCTTGTTAACCCCTGCTGCCTTTGCAGTGACAGCTCTCGTGTGGTTATAAACTCGGTGTTTATGCTCTCCTTTGGGTCAGTAAGGAGACAAGTGCATCTCTAAGAGGTTGATTGGACATGTCCTCAATTTGTCTTCATTGCACTGCTCCCATGGCACTGGGTTGCTTCCATCTATTTTGCAATGTGTGCAAAGCTCATTACAAGAGAGATCGGTGCATTTTCCAGTGGCACTTTGCTGCTGTGGCAGTACTTACGGTGCTGCCAGGGTTTGGAGTCAACCCTTCTGGGACCAGTTGCTTTATACTGGGGTAAGAATACACTAAAGTAATACTGAATCAGGTTCTATATTTTTAAAAGAGGTGCAGATGCTAATTAATTTTCACAGAGCCCCTACTGATAGAGAAGCTGAACGGCTGAAAGTCCCGTGGTGAGACTGAAATGTGATTGGGATTTTGTGTGAGACCTCCTCCCTTTCAGTCCCCTGCTCTCATTCTGTACTGTAGGATGCCTTGCCAAAGTAGTCCTGAGTACTCTCTGACAGAAAATCTTTTGTTCATAAATGGGCAAGAGTGAGGTCTATTACCATGCAGTCTTACCATTGTCTGTTCTTTACGGTAGTTTATTTTTGATAAGCTACAGCACATTTTAATGTAATTGTTAACACGCCTAATTTGCAGTCACACAGTCGTATCAATAATAATGGAAAGTTGTTCACAGGTAATAAATTAGCATACCATATAACTAACAGAACTCTGGTTCTCAGTATATTGTTTCATGATCAAGAATTCAGTAGCTAAATATACACAGCAGTGGGCTGAGAACAAGCTGTTCATTTTTGCTGCAAGCAGTACCAGTGGACCAGAGTAATCATAGCTCCCAAAAGCAGGACTGATTTTATTGATTTTAAATAGGCTTTCATTATAGAACTGAGCCTATTACAATTGCAAGGAGTATCCCAGCCTTTTGTGTTCACAGCACTGACTGAAGAGGAGACGCATTGTTGAATGCAATGTAGAGGATGCTTGTCCCTTCGTGTGTTATATTCTGTTCTGCTGAAACATCTGAATTTATTTAAAAGAAAAGTACTTCGAGTTGTTTTTGTTTTTTTTTTTTCCATGTGGTTAGATTTATTTTATTTTATTTTTTTAGAAATGTGGTTAGACCCAGCTACAGTTGTGAAATGTTAAACTCTGAGGAGTAAAGGTCTTGCTTACTTATTGGCATCTGACTTTGGGACAAGCTGTATTTTACTCCATATTTTTAAGGACTCTTTGGAAATGTCTCTATTTTTATGTAGATTAATGTAAAAAAAGACAAATACAAGATCAAGTTAAGTCTAAGATATTAATGTATTCAAGTTATAATTAGTTAAGAACACATGCTGTTACCAGAAACACATTATTAATCTGCATGGAGCAGTTTGTGGCTATTTGCTGCTAAATTAGTGACACTTAAAAGCAGTCTTTTTTGTATTGTTTTGAATAATAAAGAAAATTTTAAATCTGTGAGAAAAATAATTATGCACACTTAAGAAGCAGTCTGTTCTGTTGTTTGAGTTTGTTTTTTGGGTTTTGGGTTGGGTTTTTTTTTTCATTTACACAAATGCTTGTCAGTCAATGGACATAAACAGAAGTTCATCCAAGATTTAATTACCAAATGCAATGCTGTTGAAGTACATGTCGTGCTGTACTTCATGGTGGTGTAAAGACATGTTGCTTGTGCTAGTGTCTCTTCAAATCCAGTATTCATAACTACTCAGCCTTGCTGAAACATTTTTCTGGTGTTACTAGGGCAGTTTGGAAGGGTGATAATGGAAATTAATTACAGCTTTTTGTTTTTAATGGGTTTAATAAAGACTTTGCATGCTACTTTTTAAATAATTTATTTATTTTTATTAGGGCCTACAAGTGAAGATGAATTACTTTATATATTCCAGCTCAAACAACATTTTTCTTTTGGGATAGTCTTTCATAACAAAATTTGGGAATTCAGGCGGGAGATAACATAAAAGCTTTGTGTGAACATTTCTGGATATTTGCTCTTTAAATAAAATGATGATGTTAAGTAGCAAATCAGCTTGGTAACTACTGAATGATCAAACCCAGTTACTGTAAAAGAAGATTTGGCTGGTTTACTTCATTTTACAGAGCTTGGGCAAATAACTATTGTATTAAATTACTTCCTGTTGGTTTTCCCCAGGGCAAAAGAAAAAACCCTGCAGTACTGTGCTCTGCTGAACTGTATTGATTAGTTCTTCAGGTCTGATCTTTACATGGTTGTGCTTACTTGCTAGTATGTTTGTTTATGTTTTTGATAGTTGTTTTTCTGAAGTTACTGTATTGCCCTGTTAGTCCTCTCGTGGATTATAAAAATTTGTACATTAATTCCTTTATCTGGCTTCATTTATTAATTCCTTTATCTAACTTCATTTATTGTAGCCAAATGAAGATAATCAGCACTCGTGTAGCATGCTGGTGAGGAGTGAGGGTAATGATCACTCACATAATTGATGTCACATATCACTGACAATCAAAACTCACATTGTCGAAATGGTTGGCACCTAAATCCGATCTAATTAAATGCTTGCAACATCTATTAACTATACTGTATTAGATTCTTTATCACAGCAGCTATTAGAGTTTGCTGCTGCAGGTTGGAAAGTGATATACAGTTTTAATTCTTCTTAATAATTTGTGTGCTTAGGAAACACTTGTTACAAAACTTTTTGTTGCATTTAAATTTCCTTGTTATCTGCCATGCAGTGGCATGAATAATAGGGAGCCCAGAACATGAATATATTGGAATACATGAAGTATTTTCAAGGAGAGTGCTTTTAAGGTTCAGAATGATATATGTCAGATGTTACTGAATGGTTAAAAATGTGGAGAGATTTTGCCTTGAGAAGGGTGGAAATCAGGCACCTCTTAGTACAGGACTGCCAATAGCTATATTGAAAATTCGTTTCTGTCTAAATATTCAATACAGGAAATTGAATATTTATTTAATAATATTTATTCTATTCTAACATCCTACTATTTTTCTAGTTGCTGAAATTTATTATACTGGAACTTTGAAGTAACACAGTGTCAGAGCTGATCTGCACCAAAAATTGCCACACCTCTAAACTTATATTTAATAATCTGTAAAATATTTTTATCTAATACAAGCCTAAGAACCTTGTATTTTTTGAATGAAAGTATCCTCTGTGCTACTTAAATAGTAGATGTGTGAATTTAACTACAAATTCTCATGTTTTCTTGCATACTTCCATAGAATATTGTGATTCAAGGTGTGACCTAATCCAAACATCACAGAAATCAGAGATTTCCACAGACTTCAGAGGGAATTGAGTCAATGACAAAAGGATAACAATGTTGGCTTTTTCTAGGCACTGCTAATAATATGTTAATATTAGGATCTCAGTTTCCAGTATACCTGGCAGTATTATGATAAATGTGCAAAGTGACAGCATTCAGTATTAATTAACCTCTTAAAGCCACCTGGCAGATCTTTACGGTTCAAGAAACTGCTACGGTCCATGGAGCTGCGGAGATCATGAGTGATGTTTTGGGTTGTTTTTTTTTTTCCTTTTCCCCTTTCCCCCCCTGTTTTACTCTGTAAGTGTGTCAGGATTGTTTCCATTGGTGCAATTACTTTTGTCAATGTGTCTCGCTGCACTTTCTTGTTACTAAGATACTGTTACACTCATATCGCCAAAGATTCAAGTGATGCCTCGCAAGCAGATGAACATGTTTTCACAGCTACTCCCTTGCTCTACCTTTGGTGACAGGAATTTCTTCTTTTCAAACCACATCCCTAGCTTGTTTACATGTGTTCAGAGCAAGGAATGGAATTTATTTTCCTTGGTGAACTTTTGTTTGTCGTGCATTCAAGACAAAATACGATCTAATTCATGTTTTAAAAACTGTGCCAGGGTCTAAGATGTCAAACTGTGTCGTGGTTATGTGGTTTGTTGTGTAGGCCGTGTAGCATTAATAGCATGGTTTTGATCTAAATAATGACATTTATCCAGCTAATAAGTAGTGTATATTTATCCTCTAACTTCCTTGAACAATTCTTTTTTGCAAGATTGCTTTATAAAAATGCTGAATTGACTCATGTTTTATTGCTTACTAGTTAGGAACAACTTACTGTTTTTTTTTAAGAGTCTAACCTGGAAATGCTTTTTAAATTTACACTAATAAGCTTGATAAATGACACATGATAGAATAGCAATGTGTTTTTCTTTTACAGAGGCAAAGGAAATTGTTCTGAAGGCACAGATTTTGGCTGGAGGGAGAGGAAAAGGTATTTTCAATAGTGGCTTGAAAGGAGGAGTTCATCTAACTAAAGAGTAAGTATTTAAAATTGAAAAAGCAGAAATAAATTGCTTCTGTTGTAATATTAAGCTGTTTACAATAGCTATGTGACTGTTTCTTTTAATACCTTTCAATAAACTAACCTTTTTCCTTTGTTTATAGCCCTAAGATTGTTGAACAGCTTGCTAAACAGATGATTGGGTACAATCTGTCAACAAAGCAGACTCCAAAGGATGGTGTGACAGTTAAAAAGGTAAGATTTTTGCCTCTTAAAAGTTGAGGACTGTGTTCAGATGCAGTTTTGCATTATTATACTGGGGTGTATGACAAAGATTTGGGTTTTTTCATTCCATTTCCAATGCCTAATTGATGGCATCTAGTTGATAAAAGAAAAAAAAATGATACTTTTATTTTCTCTGTGCGTAAGTATTTTGTCTATCAATTTCAGCATACCTAGTAATGGAAAAATGAATTCAGTTTTGCTACATGTGTTGAAGGGAGCCTTTTTCATAGCTTCATCCTTCATCAAGTATGTGCTAAATGCTGGCATAACTATATGACATTAACTGTACATGCTTATTGGCATTCTGTTTAGAAAAGTAATATATACTTGATTATCTGTAGTAATAATATTATCCGTATTTCATTCATCATCAGCTTTGGGAAGCTGTTATTGAAAGTAGTGACTGATGTCTTTGAGAATGATCTCAATTTAAAAAAAACAAGACAAAACAGCTTTCTAAAAGTAGATTCTTCCTAACTTGTTGCAGATACAGAGTAAAATGTGGTTCTGATAGTGGTTCAGCTGACACATGGTAATTCATTTAGCTATGATGGTGCATACTGCAAGGTGCCAAGCTTCACTTCTGCGTAAACATATTGCTCTGTATTGGCCTAAATACGAGAAGCATCACTAGTCCTTCAGCAAGATTCTCCTTTACCTTAGTAAAATTCTGTAAGTCAGGAAATCCTAGCGATTGCCTGTCTACTATCTATATTTTTGATCTAAATCTTGCTTTGTTTTACTAAGCAAGGATCTTCATACAGGTCTGTAATCAAGAGCCACATTGTATTTGATGCCAGGAAATAATTTGGCATGAGCTGAAAGGAACTGCAGTTCACTTTTAATATATTGTGAACAGCTTGGTATATTAGCATAGAAGGGGAACACCTGTCTGGAAAGATACTGTCTAATGAGGGCTGGAGGAAGGTGCTTAGGCAGTTCTTCTCTTGGGGAGCAAAGAGAGCAGATTACCATCACTGCTCATAGTTGTTGTTAAAAAGAAATACTGGATATTAAAAAGAAGGAACAGTATTACCATTAAGGCGTGTCTGTCAGAGATCATGATAATAGTAAGGATATGAAAAAGGATATACATTTCCCATATTAAGGCACTCTTCTTTGAAAAATTTGTGTTGTAAAAACAGCCTTATTTTATAAATTCTTCGGTCAACTATGGCAAAAGAATAAAACCAATTTTGAATACATCAATACAGGAAATGTCACTCTTTTGTCTGAGTGCAAGTCTATTCGTTCATTTACATATTCTGTTCTGAAAAAAACCCACTTCTGACTTTCTTTGAAAGGGTGTTGGGGTTTTTCTGAAATGGATTATTCAAATGATTTATTTAAGTTTACTTTTGTACCATGTATAGAATAGCTATGGAAGATTTAAGTTGTAACTGCTTTTCTCCCCATCCACACGTTGCTTGTATGAATAAACAATAGTAAAAAGTAAGCAGCTAGGGCATACGTGAAGTTTGTGCTACTGAACTTCAGATACATATTGTGGTGGTACAGGAAATTATATAGCCTTGGTAGACTGTATTTTTCCTCTCCTATAGAATTACATGGAAACTTATTAGGACACAGCTTGCAAGTATTTTAATATTGATGCATGGTAAACCAGTGTGATGCTTTTCACTGGGAGAAGCTGATCATCTGTTGTCATAGATGTCCATTCTGACTATAAAGCTGGCTTTTAAAAGCCCTAGACCAATTCATATCTTCATCACACGCGTGTGCAACAAGGTAATAGGATGGTTTATATTTTTGGTGTTGAGATCGTGATCCTTGGTAATTTATGGTAAGAGCATACACCTTGTTTTAAATTAATTAATTATATAAAAGTTTGACCAGTGGCGTGCTAATAATTTCCCCATTGTTTGATAGTGAAGAAAACATGTTTAAAATTATGCATCTAGGTTATCAAAAAGCCACGTCACAGAAAAATTAATGTCTTTTAAAAGCATTTATCTTTTCCAAAGTTAACTCACTCTAGGATCTTCAAAGGAGTTAAAGCAGTGGAGGCATTCAGGTTTGTAGTATCAAGGGGCAAACTTCAGTAATATGATTAAAAGTATGAGTTTAGCTCTGTCTAAGATGTCACTTAATGCGGTGGGTAGTTAGCGCTCAGAAAATGCAGGACAGACTCTTGGAGCTTGCTAAGAGCAGTGGAGAAGTTGAGAGTTCACAGCTGGAATTTTTGTTCTATTTCAAGAGACATTCTTTCTGTATGTAGGAATACATGTGTGCACATGTTCTCAAAGAAATTGCAGTTCACAAAGAAAAGAAAAAGAATGTTTTTAGGTTTTGTGGTTTTTAAACTTTTTGGTGTTCTGGAATGTTTGAGAAAACTCATGTTTTTAAAAAAAAATAGGTAATAAACACTTTTCAGAAGGAAAATAGTTATAAATCACTTTCTGTGAGATAAACGAGCTAGTGTCAGGTTGGGGAGTGGAAGTCACATACTTTTTACATGTATTTGTAAGGAAGGAATAAAAGAGAATTTTATACAATTAGAATAATTATGGAGCAGAATATGGAGTTTTCAACTTTCTTTCTCAGCTTGTGCACCTTCTACAGAATTTAAAGAATGTTTGTGCTTCTTTAGATTGATGCTTCTTAAATAAATAGCAGTCTCCTCAGTTCCCTTGTAACTTGGAAGCTATTTTGTGAGTTTACATAAAATCCTCTTATGGCAGCTTGGAATTTGGAGAGCCTGGTTATCTGAGAAGACAGTCTTCTCTTATCATGACAACCTGAGAATTTGCTACCTGTGTTTTCTCTCCAAGCAATAACAGAATTAACATTTTGAATATTTGATTCATAATTTAAAAAGCTGTTATAGTTACTCTCATGAAATTAGATGTGTGACTTAAACTCTTAGGTAATGATTTGTTTTTAAGAAGGAAAGCTTGAAGTTATTAGGAAGTTTTAAAGAAAGCTGATTTTCTCCCCCCGAACTTTTAAAATATAAACCTGATGTGGTAAACAGGTGGTGATGCTTCATATTCTTTATCATAAGCAAAACAGACAAAATAGGAGAAAAGTCAACAGTCTGTAAATTCAATTTCACTACTCTTAACTGTTCATTAACGTGTTTGCATGTGAATGACAGGTAGACTTTACAAATAGTGTTTGGAGACCTTGAACACCTATTTCCCTGGCTTTGTTCTGCATCAAACAGGGAGGATGGTGAAGGAAAGTGACTGGTTTTTGGTAGGAGAAATGAGAGGTATGGCACAGTCTGACAATTTTTACTCCACAGTAAGCTTGCCTACGACAAAGTAGATATACTCTCAATAGTTTTGTGAATTAACACAGAGAAGCATTTGACAGTGTTGACATTGTTAATTAGCAATAGTGAGGACAATCGCTTGGGTCGGAAGTAGCAGTTGAAAAGATACCTGATTTAATAATGTAAGTTCCACCTGCTGTGCTTGCAAATATATTCCTCAGGGCTTGCTGAGTGGATTCCCATCCTGTCTGGCCTTGATCTTGAGCACTCTGGAAACTGTCTGAACAACTCAGACACGATCCAGTAGGACCAGCTGGTTTTATATGACCTATGTCTAAAGCAGTTGACTCGCATTTTTCAGATACCTTGACGCAGGATATGTAAGAAGGTGAAAACATGCATGCAGGTAACAAGACTAATAGTAGCAAATCAAGGATGCTTTCTGTATCTTTGCTTGTTAATTTGACAAATCTTGGCAGGTAGCTGAGCTATGTTTCTGAAGTTGGCTTTCAGCATCCCTTTATAGTAGCCTAAAATAGGCAGATGCTTTTTAGTAGTATGGTAGTTTTCTACATTCTTAGTTGTCTCCTTCACCCTGGTTTTCTTTAGTTTTCTTTTGAACAGTCATATATTTGAACTATTTCTTTACATCACCCTATGTTCTATGAATAAAGCAAGATAAAAGTAGAAGGAAACAAAATTACTATAAAGAAAATTTCTTCCAACTCAAAAAAACCCATAAAGAAATATCTTTCTTTCCATTCTGAGCACAGAGGGTTTTATTTAATTCCCTGTCTCTTACTTTTTTTTCTGTTCTGTTAAGATGTACAGCCTGGCAGAAGGTAAGTAGATTCATTCTTATGTACTCTGGACTAGAACGTCAGAAAAGCGAGTTGGATGAAAGTAGAGTGCATCTTTCTTGTTTATAGTCCTTGAACTATGAAAACCCCAGGAATACTTATTTGATGGAGCACATCTTGCCGGGTGGGCAGGGTTTAAGACTGCAGGTATATATATGCCTCTCAGATTTAAGGAGTTTCAACTGCTGACTGATGGAATGAATTTCACCTTATGTAATCTCAGAGTGATAATCTTCGTCTACAATAATTGTTCAAAACTATCTCTTTATAAATAGACCATGTTAGAAAGACGTTGCCACTTAATCCTTTTTAATTATATTAATCTTAAGGAAGTGACTTTCCTGATTTCTACTACTTCTGGTGAAAGATAGGAAATATTAGCTCTGCTAAGGAAGAATGTAGTTGATTGTTGGAAGGAGAAGCTATCGTGCTAATTAAATTGCAGAGGTGGCTGCTCGACTAACTTCCAGATTGAAAAGCAAAATTGTAGTGCAGAACAGAACTGTAGCCTTTGCACCTGAGATTGTGGCACCTGTTATGAAAATAAGGAACAATTAGTAATGATCATATGCAGATTTTTTCTTTTAAGATGAACAACATCTGTGGTAATTTAGTATTCTTGCATCAAAACATTATTTTGTGAGTCCTTTACCAAATGTAAAACTACTTAATCTCTGAAACTAATAGCTATTGTTAAACTACTGCAAAAATTACCAGTTCAGATGAAGAGAGAGAGAAAGTTATTGTAATACTGAAATATTCCATGCTGAGCTATCTGTCAGATATCAGTATGAAAGGGCTTTGTAGCTTATAGTAATAAATATAAACGAGTAGCTCTTTGGAAAAATAAATTTTTGTGTTTCTAGAATCTGAAGGTCATACATCTGCTTGTCTCTCTAAACTGAAACGAAAAAGCTGGATGGCAGAATTATCTGTAAACCCATTTCCTTAGGAAATACTTAGGCAGGGCAGTAGTTCAGTGCTGACATTTTACTTGTGGAGTGGCCTTCTGTCAGAATGGGGGAAAGAACTGAAGCCTGAGGCTTTACTGGTAAAGAATGGCACTTCTGATGTGATGCCTCAAAAAGCCAACATACCCTGGCTTACATCTGTGTGATTTGCAAGGCTGGAGTCCCTTGTGACTCAAGTTTTTCTGGAAGCAGCATGTTAAAATGCTTGTTGGGAATAGAAAGATAATATGAAGTTCCCCTTTATGGACACAGCAGCAGCTCTTATTCTCTTATTGGAAAAAAACCCCAACAATTAGGTGTTCCTGGTTTATGCTGCTTGTTACATTCCCCAGTGAGAACAGCAGCATCGGGGGAATCTCTTATTTAGGGAGAAAGGATTTATTGGGAAAGAAATCACTGGATTGTAATATCTTGCAAAAGGAATGAAACATTTCTTTTCAGGATAGCAAGTATCAAACTGCTGCATTTTAAGGCAGTGCAGAAAAATGAGCCACAGTGTTCTCTGCTTGATTACAGCAGAGGGAAATACTCACTGGCTTTGTTAGATTTTAATTGCTTTTTACATTGCAAAAGATTTTACGACATTCATTACTCTAGACACCTCAAGGAAGCAAGGCTATGTTCAGGTTAAGTGTCACCAGCTAGATGGACTAGTCACAACTGTTGCTGGTTTTTTTTTCTTCCCTGTATTCATTTTTAGGTGATGGTTGCAGAAGCACTGAATATTTCCAGGGAAACATACTTTGCCATTTTGATGGACAGAGCCTGCAATGGACCTGTTATGGTTGGCAGTCCACAGGGTGGTGTTGACATAGAAGAAGTTGCAGTTACTAGCCCAGAACTTATCTTTAAGGTATTAAAATAATATTTTGCACTAAAAATTTTCCTTGTCAGTTATCCAAAAATAATACATTCTTCCCCCTTTTCTCCTTCCCTTTTTCCTTCTTCCATGCATGGAAAGAAGACGCTAAGAACCATAAAATTTGTGTTTCACTAAATAGGGGATCAGACCTGTCGTCTAGTAGATAAATGAAGCATGTTTAAAATCTGGTTTTGTTAGTGTTTGTGTCTCCAGCTCGATATAGAAAAAGAGCTTAAATCTCTCTGTTTTATGATATGTTAAACTTAATATCTGAATTTTATGAGTGAGTTTCACTTTGAGGGAGGTACACATTCTTTTCACACGTGGGTCAGTGCCAATATGGCTATTGTTTCTGTGGTTGTTTTTTTCTAATTGATGGAGTTGTTAATTATTTTTTGTACCTGGATGACTTTTACATCTGAAGTCCAACTTTTGTAATTTCTCTCTTCATGATGACTTCATTTAAGAATTTTTTTATGTTACTATGGCATGATAATGAGTAGACAAGTTATTCATCTGGGAAAATAATTGATACAATCAAGTATAATTATTAGAAAAATTGTAAAAATATTTAATGTGCATTTCAAAATTATATAAACTTCACAGTGTTACTGGGCAGTGACTCCATTGCCTTGAAAATATTCCAGAAGATGTCATAAAAATTAACAGACTAAATATTCGTCAACGCCATCTGTACAGTAATTAAAAGTGAAAACTGGTGTCACATTGTCTTGTCAGCATGCCACCCTGAAGAATTATATATTTTTTGGAAGGACTGTTTCATAGTTGGTGTGGTAATTATAACATACCCTATAGGCAGCTTCTATAGCCTCAGTCTCAGAGAACTTTGGCAAACAGCCATACTTTAATTACTAATTTGCAAATGTATACTAAGTGTTTTCCTTTTGAAGTTATAAATCTCCATTCAGATTGAATATTTACTCATATTTATGCTTGTTATTGTTACAGGAGGAAATAGATATTTTTGAAGGTGTAAAGGATTGTCAGGCGTTGCAGATGGCAAAAAATTTGGGATTCAAAGGACCTTTGCAACAGCAGGTAACTTGACTCTGCTCCCTTAGTTTTTACTGAAGACATTTTAGCTCAGCTATATGATGAATGCTCTCAAATAGACATGAAAGGCTGATTGTTCATTAGATCAGGACCATCTTGACATTTTAAATGCTAAATGGAACCTATATAATTGTCATCAGGCTTTAGCAATTTGAGTAAGTTCCTTATTTTTCCAAAGTGAAAGTCCCTGGTCTTTGAAGCAATTGATGATAACGTGCTGTTACAACATGTGGGATTATTTTTATTTCATTGGAATGCCATTGGAGCTCAGTGACTTACATAGTTAGAACTTTTGGGGGAAAATTTGTCCCTTAATATGCAGAGAAGTAAAAGTGTGTAAGTGTATCTTTCTTTACAATTGAAGCCTTTTTTTTTTCTTTTTTTAAAAAAAAATCTTCAACTCAAAACCACAAGACTGCAAGCTTGTTGTCTTTTAGTATCTCTTATCTATATATATTGGAATTCCACATTGTACACAAATATGCAAGACATTTTGCCTTTATGAATCATTTTGTAGAGAAGTGAAAGCTTGTTTAAGCTACTTTTGCCTGTTTTTTTTTTCTTTAGTATCAAACTGTCATTTTTGTAGAACTCCTTTATTTTTAATTCAGCAGTTTTAATTATTTTCTATCCCAACTGTGCAATTAACAAGTGCATAATCATTAGGTTGATTAACACACATTTGAAGATTTAACTGTATACCTAATGAGGAGGAATGATTATGTGGAACCTTTCAACCCTTGAAGAGTTCTCGTACTTAATAATTAAAAGCAATATATGGACTTTTCAACAATACATTTAAATAATGCCGCAGTGAATGCTTTTCTTTCCTTGTGCTGTCAACTCAAAGGAATTTACTGAAGCTTAGGGACAGTTTTTATTCAGACAAATCCTAGTATTTACTTATAAATTCACTTTTTCTAGGCTGGGATTTTATGCTTTGCCTCAAAGAGGCTCAGTGCTTGTAGACCATGAGAAAAAGAAATGTTGACATTAAGCTGCCTGATTCAGAGAGGTTCTGAAAGATGGAGAAGTCTTTAATAAAAGTTAAGGAATTCTGGGTTATGTGTTAAAATTACAGCAGTGTACTAGGGCAACAACAGCTTTTCAGGTTGCCCAGAATCAATGTGGGGTTGCACATTCCTCTCTGGTGTCACTGTTGATGGTCTTACCTACGTGATACTAGGATCATTTGTCAACCAGAGCATCCATGCCAAGGAAACTGCTGCTTTGGTGGGTGCAGATTTATAACTGATATTTCTTTTTAAGTTAAAACCACTGAGAATGCTTCAGCTCATGACTTTTGAGCAGGGAAGACTTAATGAGTAAGCAATTTGTATGCTGCTTCCAAACTGTAACTCTCTACAGAGTCTTAGACGTGTTGGTCCCAAAACTGGACACGGCACTGCAGGTGCAACCTTGCCAGCACTGATTAGAGGGAGACAGGGACATCCCTCACCATGTTCTCCCTGATGTAATGCAGTGTTGGGGTTGAGCCTTTCCAGTCATAATGTTTTCTTTCTTATGAATGTCATGTGAGAAGGCCAACTTCCATTCTTTTACTCTCATTTACTTTGCTTATTAGAAGAGATCACAAGTATTTTTGGTTTGTGTACTTCAGTTAACTGATCAGTAATGAAGGAATAAATTTGAGTGGTTCCGTATTAGTGCATTTCTTCATCTGCAAACTTATTTCAGCTAATAGCTTGCCAGTGTGTAATGAACCAAAGGGAATTTTTTTATGCACATTCACTGTTGCTGCTGTTTAAGTTTTCCTGTTAATGGAAGAATGTTATAGGAACAAAAGACTTGGAAGTTCATAGTCAGTCACAATATTTTGGCCAGAGAACCAGTCACAGAGATAGATGGTGAGGAACAATAAGGAGCAAGCAAGAGTATGTTGTAAAGAGTGAACAAGCATGTTTCTGACATAATTTCTTCGAGAAAACATTTCAGACTGATGTGGGAAATAGAAATGTATATTTTTCTAAAGTCACTAATGTGCACATACTGCTTTACATTTGCTGAATTTGGACTAGTTAATGTGAATGCAACTTAGATCTTAGCATACCAGAGAATATGTCATTATGAACTGTTAAGAGCTTTTCAAATTAAACTCGTCATAGTAATTTCATCATAGTCATTGTGCTGTTTATTTTGTAGAAAATCTCCGGTCCATGTAGTCTTTAAATTCACATTTGCTAAATGTTATGCAGTATCATAATGCGACATTATAGCTATTTTAGATACTATATAAATATGTTTAAGAAAACAGAAATAAAAGCAGTAATTATGTAGAGGTAGTGTGCAATTTAATACATTAAAAATAATCAATAATGTTTTACCTTTGCCTTGAAAACATTAACTTTTATTTTTCTGTGTGGTAATTGTAAATCACTTGATCAAATTTAGGCAGCAGATCAAATTAAGAAGCTGTATAATCTTTTCTTGAAAATTGATGCCACTCAGGTTGAAGTGAATCCCTTTGGTGAAACTCCAGAAGGGCAAGGTAAGAAATTGAAGGAAACAAATGAATGCATTATAATTCTTTATTTATGGAAACTATAAATTAAATTGCATAGAAGGCTGTAGCAGCAGCTTTGCATTAATTTCATTTTGTATTGTAATTTAAGCAACATTCATAAATATTCCCATGGCAGATTTTACATTTCAATACCTTTTGTTATTTCTTCCAAGTGCTGGAAGTATTGGCTTCTACATGTTGTGCTTGGTGGGAAACAGCAACATTTTCTGCTCTTCTGCTCTTTGTACAAAGTTGAGTTTTTCTTGGTTTTGTTTTGTCTTGGATATTTTGTTGTTGATGTTGCTAGAATTCCTGAGATTGTGCAAAAAGAAACTTGGTTATTTTACGTTTGTAAATATATGGGTAAGTTAAAATACCAAATGCATGACTCTGCACCCTACAAGAGGGCAGCAGAATTTCCAGCTGGAATGGACACTTAACTACATCATTTGGGAATAAAAAGGATAATTGATCTGCTTCCACCATGAATACAGGGCTAAGAAGGTACAGGGTAAATAAAAGGAGCTGGGTTAACTTTCATGTCATCCTAGTAGTTGGTTTTCCAGCTGAAACCCTTCCTCCCACTTGTCATTATTGTCCAATTAACCTGGACAAAAGAGGAGAGGGAATAAAGTTGACTTGGGTATATTGAAATACAGTAGGGCTGATCCAAGTGGATCCTAGTTACCACCTCGCTGATTCTTTTGATGGCAGACTATTTCTACCCTCACATTCATTCCTAATGCCAGTATTTTACAGTTTTCATGCCTCTGCCCTTTTTATTTCTTTTCTTTAATTTTCATAGATCAAGGTGAGAAGTAGGGGAGCTGAGACTTCATAGTCACAGGCTGCGGTTCACAAGCACAAGTGACTTCCTAGTAGAGGCCCTACCTAAAGTAGTATCATTTTGTGATTTGAGAGAAGTCTTTGATGTTGGGAAGTGCTAGTGGGTGTTTCTTGGCAAACATTGATAAAGAATACTCAAGAAAGACAATTCCAGTTTTTAACCAACTGTGTAAGATATGCCTACAGTTTAAAGTGGAAATTAGAAAAAGGAAAGAGAAAGCTTTTACCCATTTTATCAGACATTAGGAATGTGGCTGCTTAATTGCAATTCTGGAAGAAGATCACTGCTATGTCAGTTAAGACCATGAGCAACTCAGAGGAGTCCATACCAGTTGAAAGAATTAGCATTTTAAAGGTACTTTTAATGTGCCCACAGCTAGTTTGTAAAGTAAACAGCTTTTCAATAAAAATCCATAGTTTTGGCTCAGTTGGCCAGGAATTTAAAAGCTGAATTGTGGCTAGAAACTATGTAGTCTCTTCCAATTGTCCAGCCTTGTTTTTCCCTTTTTATTAACAAACCAAATGTGAAGGAATTGGCAGAGAATTGTCCACAGCTTAAAAGGAAAATTCTGCTGGTAGCATACTCTGAAGAAGCTCTAAAAGATGTAAAAGAAATCACACCCCACCCCATTTTATTGATGCATCTTATAAAGTGCTGCTCTTTGTTATAAGAAGGGCTCTGGGACACTAAAATGTTCTATTGTAAAGTGACATTTTAAAAACAAATACAAAAAAGAATATCTCGTCTGTTAAAGTATATGAGGTTAATTCAGAGACAATGGTAATAATGATCAAATGTATGGTTTTTGGGGGGTTTTTTTTCATAATGAGCTGATTTTAGGTCGAACTAAGTTAGAACATATTTATGACCTAAATGTATGCATTTTGGTTTTAGAACCCTTTTTTCCTGACCTTTTTCTAATTCCTTCTTGGTTGGGATTTTTGGTGTTCTTGCCACCAGAACCCTTTAGCTCTCTGGATAGAGTCTGCCTCATGAGAATGGTTCCCACCAAATGCTTTATCTGTTTTCATTTGGGAATCTTTCACAGCACTGCACGCTCAGGTTTCCAGCTCATTTGAAGTACCATAATAACGTGCACACTGAATCAATAGTTTCTGCATTGTAAACCTCACTCAGCTTAATAAACGTAAAGTCCAATTCTTAGCAACTAACTGTAGCTCCATTGGTTCTCATGCAATTTGCAAAATGTGTACTAGGGGAGAGAGACAAAAAGCCCTGCTGTTCACCAGGGTAGTTCTACTGTAGGCTGTATTTTAAATGGAAATGGACAATTTTCCTTCAGAACCCAATAGACTCTTGTTCTTCCCTACCATTTAAGTAGATCAATTGGCTTCATTAAAAACAGTTGGGAATGAGGTGAGGACATTTTCATTTTGTGTTGCACAGTGAAGTTAAAGTAGAACAACGATACAGGGCCTTGTAAAATGAATGGTCTGGATTTTTCAGGTTGTAGCAGTGTGCAGCACGTGACACTTCTGGCCTTTTGAGGATGAATGGGACCTTTGAAATAGGTGCAACAAAAACTGCTGGAATTTTCTTGCCGATTATGATGTTCACTTTGAAACAAATTCATTGGTATGTTTGTCTGCTAGGACTGCTATACTTACCAGGTTTATTTTGTGGGTTCAAGACCACTGATATTGTAAAAACAATATTTCCTTCCTTCAAACTTGTTGAAATAATTTTTTAATAGAATGACCAACCAAGATACCTTAACACTACAGAGCAGTATGGAAGGTATTCAGTAGTCCTTATGCTCAATCAGATGTCAGAAATTGGGACATCTGTGACAATTGCCTTCTATTAGGCAGAGAAGTGAGCTTGAGGTGAACTCTTTGTACCAGGTCTAGACTGTTCTGGTCTTCACACTTGCTGGTTCAAAACTAGGTCAGATGACTAGTATAGAAGTATTTTACTATTCTGTTATGGGTCAGATGACCAGTAGAAATACTTCTACTAGTATAGAAGTATTTTACTATTCTGTTATTTTGGCAGAGCAAAGGACAAAATCCCTGATTCAGTACTTACATCATCTCAACCTTCTAATCCTGCAAGGAAGACTTTCAAGTATGTCTTGGGTATTAGTGAGTGGACACTGTAGACTTGTGTGTGGACACTGAGAATTGAGAAGGGCAGAGACAGTGCAGTCAGAGAACAGAACAGGGGCATCATTGTGGTGCTGAGGACATATCTGGCTGGTTACCAACACAGAGGGGACATTGATAGAGGAATAGGGCAAGTGAAGGAGAGCACAGTTGGGATATGAGAGGAGACAAAACTGGTAGTCCTAAAAGGTCCTAAAGAGCCATGGTGGTACTAACTTTGTATCCTTGCTGGAGTACTGTGAGGTGGCACAGTGGAAAAAAGGCATTGATTTGGATAAGTTGCCAACTTAGCTTTTCTGGAATGGCTGTGCAGATTTAGTGAGCAGGGCTTAATTTGAGGGATGGTAGGAGTTTTTATGCTGTTTTCTCCAAGGTTTTTCCCTATGTGTTTCACATCCAGGAAGCTGAGGAGCAGAAACAGAGTGGGTTTCAAGCTGTGAAAGCCATTTTACTAGCAGACATACACAAAGTCTTCCTGTGCTTATTTCATTTTTGCTAGCAGTTTCTCCATCTGAAATGTCTTAAAGAAGAATAAAGATAAAACAAATGGAAGAACATTTGAGTAGCTTAATGCAGTTATTTCTAATGATAAAATATAAGTCTCTGTATGAAGACCATTATTCCTGTCAAAGTAACAGTTAAGATGGATTTATTTCTTGCTGTGTTTTGTGATTTTCACTTGGTGTGAATTTCCATAAGAAAATACATTGTTGTGTGTATTTCCTTTTGTTTAATTTTGTAGCGAATTCTTTAACACTATTGGGTCAGAAGCCTGTCACTGCCAATTTGTTTGGATTTTTTTGTTTTGTTTGCTCTCAGTGTAAGCTGTTGAATTGGCAGATGACAAAAATCCTATACTGCTAGCAAAAACAACAGAAATACTTCATTGAATATAAGTGTTGGAGCTTTCTTTGATATTTGTTTAGAAGAAAAATTCATTTGTATAATCTATCGTGCATGTAGCAATGTGCTTTTGATGGTGAAAATGGTTTGATAAATATTAATAGGTGTTTTTCCAGTTACTTTGTACAGCATGGCCTTTGTTAAAGATGAATGTTCTGCAGAAATGAGATTCTATTAATGTGACATTGAGGATGTTCATGGCTAAGGTAAACGGAGCTCTGCAACTGCAGTTTTACTCTAGTTTTGAGTTGTTCTAGCAATTTAAGGAACTGAAAGCTTGAAGAAAAATGGTACAGGTCATAGTTCATTGTTGAAAAGAATTAAAGCAACTCTAGTATATTAGAAGCAGATTATAAACTTCAGACATTTCTCCTTTTGGCAGATTCCCACATGATGGTTGAAAGGGTAAGATCTAAACTCGGAATGATTTATTATACACAAACACTCATGAATAGTTTTATGAAACTGCAGTCACTGAAACTAAATTTGATTCTGTTTTAATTTAATCTGGTATTGGTTACAAATCAAATGCATTTAGAAAAACCACAAAAACCACAAGCAAGGTCAGAAATCTCAAACAAGAAAACCCAAACTGTGTAGTTTTGAGACGCTTGCTGTACCTTTTCTCAATATAGGAATTGAGGAAAACTTACCCTTCTTTACTGGACTCAATGTTAGAACTTCAGCTGATCGTACGTTGAAGCAGCATCAGTCCCTAAGCAATCCTCTTCTCCCTGCTGTAGCACTTGGTGAAATGTTTCACAAGCTCTAACCTTAATCTCTAAATACCTGTATGTTGTTTTATATTTTTTTCTTTAGTTGTTTGTTTTGATGCCAAGATAAACTTCGATGACAATGCAGAATTTAGGCAAAAAGAAATATTTGCCATGGATGACAAATCTGAAAATGAGCCTATAGAGAACGAAGCTGCCAAATATGACTTAAAATATATAGGACTGGATGGAAATATTGCTTGCTTTGGTAAGAACAAATAAATCCAAAAGACATTTTGAAGACAAATTCATACTTGTTCAGTGTATAGACTTTGTTTACATTCTGATATTCAATCCACCCTTGACATTATTTCATTCTATTTTGCTGAGGTTGTCTTCACTTCCACAAGTTCTTGCAGGAATGAAACTAAAATTGTGTTTGAAACTGTGGTGAAGTCCACAGCAGCAAACAGGCAGGGCACGTGTGATGTCAGAGGGAAGACAGGCTAAGGGAGAAGCCTGTGGGGTTTCTATGTGCTGAATTTTTAAGCTGATGCAATTGGTCTTTCCACTAATTAAAACAAAACAAGAAAAGTCATCAAAATTTGATGATTAACTTTCAAAAATGAGACTCTGTTACTCAGAAAGCCCTGCAAAAGTGTGTGTGTAAAAACATGATATTTCCATTTCCAAATGAATATTGAATTCCATTTCCCTTTAAGGAAAGCTGCTAAAAAAGCTGCTTAGTTGTTAAAAGTAAAATACCAGTTTCTTATTTTCCTAAAGTTTCTGTAGAACAGAAATTACTCTTGTGTTTAGAAGAGATAAGTAAAAAAAGTCAGCTATACTCTAAATAATTCTCATTTTGTACAAATTCTTTTAGCCTGTACCACGTTTTATTACGAATCTAATTGAATTAGTCATTTTATCTCAGCTTGGTGAAATGGCTGGTTTTAGAAAATGTCCATTATTTACATTGCTTTGATGTGTACTCTAACCACAAATCTAGAAGATACTGATAAAGTGTTGCAGTTGATTCAATAAGTGGCAGTGAGATTTTAATCTCAATTAAAAAAAAAAAGCCAAACAATAACTGTCAACACTACAGCTTCTTTGTATTGGATGCTGCTGTGGAATTACAGGTGACATGGAAGCCTTACTTTGTCCAGCAGGAGCAACTTAATGGGGACAAAGAATTCACCTCTACTTTTCCTCGCTTAGAGGAGGTTTGTGCCCATGGGAATGCTTCTGGACTGGTACAAACACAAAAGAAAAGGCAGTTTCAGGAACCATCTGTCATCTGCCCCTAAAATTTAGTCATCTGTTTTACAATTATACAAAGCATCATCTACTCCTATCAGAATGATGGGAGGCAATTTGCCTCATGATGTGATCACTATTCCCAGAAGTTCTCGTGTTCTTGTGTCTCTTTTTTTTTTTTCCTGAATCAGAAGTTTTTGCATTTCCACAGTTCCTGTTCCAGTGCTCATACATGCTTAAGGGAAGATGCATATCTAAGTCCTAAAATTAATACAGTCGTAAAGAAACCTAAACGGTGCGTATGTACCAGATTTTTAATTAGTGTTGCATTGAGTATCCTTGAATAGGTACTGACCTATTTAGAAATAAATACTTATGTAGTGTTTTGAGCCACGTTATGTGGTTGTGCTGATGCACTTTAAGCCTTTTCACAAATCTTATATGCTTTTATGTGCAATATAAGCCCTTGATGTTTACAATTACAGTCAACGGAGCTGGACTTGCAATGGCAACATGTGATATAATATCCTTGAACGGTGGAAAGCCAGCCAACTTCTTGGATCTCGGTGGAGGTGTGAAAGAAGCACAAGTGTATCAAGCATTCAAGCTGCTGACTGCTGATCCAAAGGTAAAAAAAGGTGGATTTGGGACTAGAAGCTTCCCCATGCAGCAATACAGCTGTGTTACAGGACTATGAATAGTTTGCTGAAAAATACAGATAATGTGAGCGTTGAGGATGAGTTACTAAAGGGGTGATCCAAGGGGAAAATAATTTCACTGTGAACCACTGGACTGACTATTCAGTTCCTGATCCACACTCAGGTTTGTTGTCAATCTTGAGTGGGTGCTTTCTCAAGGCAATTCAACGCAGAATGCAGGTATGGTAACGCTGGGCATTGCCGTGCTGAATTTTGAACATCTGGGTCCTAAAGTGGAATTTCTGGAGAAGCTTAGATACTTCAAATCTTAGTCCTAACAGTTGTATTGCCACAGTAGAGTGAAAAGGAAAATGAGAATTAAGCAATTTGCTTATTCTGAAGGCTGATTTGTACTCTTTTAAGATGGAGTTTTCTAAAAGATCTGATTCTGCTCTGCAGGATAGTCTGTGTTTAATTAACATTCACAGGCTGGAGTTGTAGCCTGGTATGTTCTGACGCTTCCTTTTGCAGATGGAGGTGCAGTTGCTCTTTTCTTTTTGAACAACATGAGAAGACATTAGTCTGTGTGTATTGAGTAGAAGTTATTTCTAGAGATGCATGTTAGCATGCTGAGGTCATTGGTCCCTTTTGCAGACAGAAGTAGAATATTCTACTGAGAGAATATTGATCAGGCGTAGGCATTGGAGCGGAGCCAGCTGACCATCCCTGCCAATGCGGAGTTATGCTTTTGTGTGTCGCCAGAACTTAACTTACTGTAGATTTTTTTTTTTTTATTAACGAAAATCTGTCGAAGGGCTTTGATCATCTTTTCCATCTCCTGCACCTAAGCATCTCTACTGAAGTCCCACTTTCAACACTTTGCTTCTTTTTGTGGATCTGGCTTTATCTCCTTTGTCTCTTTTTGTCTGTGCTTCCGTCCATTTTCTTTATGTTGATTGTGATATTAACTTCTCTAAATATCCCATTCCTGTGAAGATTGCATCACTGTAATTGTATACCCCGTGCAGCAGTAAGTGACAAAATGTTGTGACTTTTCAAACAGAGGAGGGGGATGTTGTTTGCAGCAAAATTTTAAGGCTAAATCAGGAAGAAAATTTACAGTACAAAATAAGTTCAGGTCAACTTCATACTGTAAACACCTTGCAGTTGTAACTCTCCTTGCATGTTTTAAAGGCATGTACTACCTTGACAGTTCAACTGTACTGGAGACAGCCATCTGTGATATTTAAAAAATTCTTCCTGGATCATTTTGCACTCCTGTAGACCTGGGTCATGCTCACCTTTTGTTTGTAGAGGTCTAAGTTTATGTTCTTACCAAGACCCACAGGAAGAGAACTGGTTGTTTCCTTTTACTTAGGGATCTTAAAAGCTTCAAGTCATTAATATGCCTAAAAGAACACAGACCAGGAGAAGTAGAGAAGCAAGATACCTTGCCTGAGGCAGAAGGGAGGCAGGATGGGACTTGAGATTCATGCTAGAAAACCTGATATTTCCTTATTGTCTGATGCTAGTAGGCACTGTTATGCTTGTCCTCATTTGTGTGAGTTTTAGCTATTCTCTGGACATTACACAAAGATTTGTTTGTGTGTGTTTGAGTTGCTCTGAAGTGCGTGCTTCGTATGATGATCAAGGTTTGGCTGAGATGTAATTTAGTTCTGAAACTTGCATTAGTGCTGGAGAAGCAGGTGCAGTAAAGTCTTAAATACACAACTTAGCTGATTATCACTATGCTAAACAGCTTCTGTCTGCTACAGCACAAACAGCAGGTATTAATTTTGGTGATGAAACTTACTGAGTTTAAACAATTTTAAAACAAAAAGACATTTCAGTAGATCTCAACTACGTAACATATGTATGCCCAACATTTGACTTACAAACATCTCCTTCTTGTACTATGTATTCTGCTTATATATTACTGCTTAACACAAGCTGCTTATGCCAGGGCCAGTGAAACTGTGTGAATTGAGACAGTGGGGCAGTGTAAAAGGTAGCATGGAAAGGACCTGAAACAGTAATTTATGCTGCTGTCTATGGAAAACTGTAGCTGTGCCATTCCTGGCTTTGACTGGCCACAGATGCAGAATGCTGTAGCCTATATGCCACACAACTCATTCCTCTTTGATTTGTTGCCTCCTCTCTTCTTTTGAATGCCTCTTCTGATCTTTTCTCCATTCACAGGAAGAATCACAGGACAAATCCATTGCATTCTCCTTTTGTTCTCTTTATTACACTCTGGGGAAAAAGAGGGAGGATGACTGCTTAGAGTCCCACCAGACTCTTAGGTGGTATGGTGCAGGGGAAAGAGGGTGCTTCTGAATGCTGTCTGCTCCAGGGAATGTAGTCCATAGCAGATTTGGATGCACATATGTAAGTGACACCATTGTTGGCCACGGACATTGTGGGTTTTATTGAGATTTAATGGTGTTGCCCATTTTTAAGTTACTATCATTAGTTCTTTTGAGCCTACCCCTGCACGTGACCAGTCATACCACAGCTCTTATTCCTGAGAGGCTTGCCACGTTTTAAGTGAATCACTTCTGACTTGTTTCTTGTCAGCCCTTTCAATTTGACTGATTTAACCTTTATTTTATGTCACTGTGACCATCAGTAATACTGTTTCAGTTCCACATGACATCAGGTGAAAAACGTCTCTTAATAGTAACTGATGAAGTATTAGGTAGGAGATTAAATTAGGATTAGTGAAGATATGCTGATATCCTGGTACATAATAGGAGACTGTAGCAGTTATACCAGCCTAACATCAAAACTCTTGTTTTTCTTACTGTTCTGCAGTTGAATATTAATATGAGTTTACTAGCTATTTAAAAAAAAATCATGTTTTTTTTCATTCTTTTAAGAAAAGATAATAAATGTCTGTTTTTTCCTCTCCTCATCCACCATGTCCATTAACTTATTAATATACAGTAATGAATCCTCTCTTTTCTTAGCTGATAGTAGGTTTCAATCCTTAGAGTCATTATGGCTAATGCACCATTCACAGTTTGTATCTGGTCAGTCATTTCCCTGTAACCTTTAACCTGATGCCCACCTTGTTTGAGAAGATAAAAATTTGCTCTTGGGAACTTGATGGGCAATTAATTGTTGTAAATGTCTCCAAACAATGTTGAACCTCTGAAGAATGACTAAACAAACAAACAAACAAGTCTGCAGGACTGTAATAGGGAGAAGCACTGTCTTTTAGTTGCACTGAAATATGTCACTGGCAGTGCTAAGGACATTGCAAAAGAAATCTTCTAAAAGGAAATGTCCAACTGCACTTTGAAATAGATCTTTCTCGTTCTTTAGTTGTCTTTAAAATTTCTGTTTTGTGTTAAAGCAAAAAAATGCAGGTATGCCATGATTTGATTTAATGAAGCTGGGAAATACTGTTTTTGAGAAAAATGAAGATCTTGGCTGATTTGTTGCTGGTTTAATCTGGCTGTGGTCAGTGTCTATAAGTCTTTTAAAAAAAAAAAAAAGTTTTTTTTTTTTTTTTGGAAAAGGTCACCCACTGGCTTTTAGATGGAAATGCTGTCGCTGGAGTCAGTGACCCTTTTATACTGTGCTGGTCTTGTTTGGAGTCTGCTGTATACAGTACTTCCTAGGTCAGACAGTTCATTGCAATGGTTCTGAATTCCTTTCTTTTCACCATCTAATTTCCAGACTCTTCCCCACCTTCCCCCTTTCCTGCCTGTCTTGCTTCTGATTTGTGCTGTGCATCTGTTTTGGCTGAAAATTAACCATGTTGCCTATTTTCAAGTAGTAACAGGAAAGTGGAAGATGCCTTGATTATGGGTGTTCACACTGCTTCATTGCTTCTCTTTGTCCCACAGTCAAATAGAAGAGGTTGTTTCCTTTGATATTGCGGGGGTTCTGAGTGATGCCTGAGTTTTCTCTACGTGTATGAAGTGCTGTTTCAACCGTCCTCACTGAAATCCTCATCTTTGAGTACTCTTGCATCATGCTCAACAGGTGCTTGTTTTTATTCATGCTGAAGACCAGGACTGTTATATTTAACATATGATGACTGTTTGTAGGATTCAATTAGGTTTTGGAAAGACTAGAGCTGAAAAAAAACAGTCTTGTCAATAAATCTGCTGTCCAGGGCACTGAAGCTTGGTTGCCATCTCTGCCTTCTGCTTTAGCTTGGAGTTGTTTCACATCTGATGCTTCTAAATTCCTGCAGGTTTTTGTTTCAGCTTTTTTATACACATTGCAGAGAGTCAGCATCAGGTTTCAGATGTCAGACTGACTGAATCGTGTTTTTGAAGACCCTAGTGAGTATGAGAGCCCATAATGATGAGGCTCTTGGTGAGATGTATTTTGTGACTATGATTAGGCAAAGGCCAGAAGCATCTCACCTACTACCTGAGGCAAGTCACATCCTCTGTGTTTTTCTCCCATACTGTCTTGGTAAAAAAAATTATTGTATAGGTTGCTGATATATAGGAAAGTTGTCCGTTAATGCTGACATAAATGGTATGTGTACTTGAGATGTGACCCAGCTGTAGGACTGCATAGCCTTTCCTCAGGCTTTTGGCTACATCCCTTACCATTGACTGACTCTAGTACTGAACTGAACAGTTGAATCCTAATAGAAAGTAACACTTTCCATTAATATGGGCTGTTAAAGGCCAAAATTTTTTGTTGTTCTTGTTCTCCTTTTACCCCTAAAGCTCCTTTGACAACCTTTATTGAAGCCTGTCATTGATGATATGACTAAGGACTTATTAAATCAATTGATTTTAACAAGTGTTTGTTTGCCATGTAAGCAGAATACTATTGACAGATTGACAAACATCTCTGTAGAAAAAATATTCCATATTGACATCTCTTAACTCATATCCAGGAATAATTAATGTCAAACACACACAAAACTTAATTTGGTTTTGCTTTTTTTTTTCTTTCAGCTATTCTTTAGTCCAAATTCAGATTATTGTTTTATTAATATGCAATTAGCATTCTTATT